CGTGCAAGGGGGGGGGCGGCGCGAGCGGGAGGGGTCCTCGTGCAGCTGTGAGTGTGCAAAGGGCTGTCCTTGAGCAGCTGCGAGCGTGCAAGAGGGTCCTCGTGCAATGCCGAGCGTGCGAAGGGGGCTCCTCCTGCGTGGGTGAGTGTGCAAGGGGCGTCTCGTGCAATTCCGAGCGTGCAAAGGACCGTCCTTGAGAAGTTGTGAGTGTGCAAGAGGGTCCTTGTGCAATTCCGAGCGTGCAAAGGGCCCTCCTCGAGCAGCCGTGAGTGTGCAAGGGGCGTCTCGTGCATTCCGAGCGTGCGAAGGGGTCCTTGTGCAGTTGTGAGTGTGCAAGGGGCGTCTCGTGCAAAGAGAATGCTCCTCACGCAGTTCTGAGCGTGCAAAGGCAGTCCTCGTGCAATTCCGAGCGTGCAAAGGGCCCTCCTCGAGCAGCCGTGAGTGTGCAAGGGGCGTCTCGTGCAATTCCGAGCGTGCAAATGGCTCCCGGTGCCATCGTGGGCGTGCAAACGGGTCCCTGTGCAATTCTGGGTGTGCAAGGGCCGTCCTCGTGCAAAGGGAGGTTCCTGGCGCGGAGGTGAGCGTGCGAAGAGTGCTCCCGTGTGAGGGGAACGTCCCTTGGCGGCCGCGAGTGTGCAAGGCCCGTCCTTGTGCAATGGTGAGCGTGCAAGAGCATCCCCGTGCACTCACGAGTGTGCAAGAAGGTCCCGGTACACTCGTGAGTGTGCAAGGCCCATCCTTGTGCAATGGTGAGCGTGTCAGAGTGTCCCCGTGCCCTCACGAGTGTGCAAGGCCTGTCTTTGTGCAATAGTGAGTGTGCAAGAACGTCCCTGTGCCCTCACGAGTGTGCAAGAACATCCCTGTGTCCTCACGAGTGTGTAAGAATGTCCCTGTGTCCTCACGAGTGTGCAAGGCCTGTCCCCGTGCCCTCACGAGTGTGCAAGAACATCCCTGTGTCCTCACGAGTGTGTAAGAATGTCCCTGTGTCCTCACGAGTGTGCAAGGCCTGTCCCCGTGCCCTCACGAGTGTGCAAGAACATCCCCGTGTCCTCACGAGTGTGCAAGAACGTTCCCATGCCCTCACAAGTGTGCAAGAACGTCCCTGTGTCCTCACGAGTGTGCAAGGCCCGTCCCCGTGCAAAGCCCAGCCCTTGCACGCCGGCCCCGCGCGGCGCTGGGGGCGACGCTTGTGCAAACCCCCCTTGCACGCCCCCGACCCCTCCCCGTGCCTCACACGAGCGTGCACGGCCCCGGGCGAGCCCCCGGCCCTGCTCACACTCACACTCACGCTCACACTCACGCTCACACTCACACACTTGCACTCACACTCACGCTCAGTCCCGGCCGCGCCTCGCTGCCCCGGGGCTGGCCTGGCAAGGCCCGATCCTTGTGCAAACTCCGCGTTCAAGTGAGCAAATCCTCGTGCAAGGATCGTCCTCGTGCAAGGCCCAAATCCTCGTGCAAGGCCCAAATCCTCGTGCAAGGCCCAAATCCTCGTGCAAGGCCCGATCATCATTCAAGGCCTGATCCTCGTGCAAGGCCCAAATCCTCGTGCAAGGGTTGTTTAAATGGAAGGGACGTTCCTCGTGCAAGGCCCAAATCCTCGTGCAAACTCCGTGTTCAAGTGAGCAAATCCTCGTGCAAGGATTGTCCTCGTGCAAGGCCCAAATCCTCGTGCAAGGCCCAAATCCTTGTGTAAGGCCCGATCATCGTTCAAGGCCTGATACTTGTGCAAATTCCACTTCAAGTGAGCAAATCCTCGTACAAGGATCGTCCTCGTGAAAGGCCCAAATCCTCGTGCAAGGCCCAAATCCTCGTGCAAGGCCC